AATTAAACCATTACATCCTATAAAGATGCCATTGAAATAAGTCTTTAAAGTCCTATTTGCTTTGTAAGATATGAATGTATGACGATATTATTAACAGAAACTGATAAGAGTATATGGTGTATAAATCTTGCAATTTAACGTTATATATGATGAAGAGGCGGTGGACGTTGACCTGAATTTAAGGTGTTTTTGTTGTGGTTAAGTGACAACGGTGATGAGAGGGAGGAGGTGGCCAAGGCTACAACGGCTTCTCTATGACCAGTTATGCAACCTAAATAATTATGGTCCTACAACCACACAATCAAGTGCACAATAGATAACATACCACTTCAAACTGAACTGCAACTTGAAGCACACTTTAAGTTTTGTTTGTTCATTGAGACATTTAACCAAACAATTACTATTCATAGTAAAAAAAGCCCAAGTAGAATAATGTTGAGTGGTGAAGCCACTTGTTTAGTGGCAGACAAAAATAAAGGCAGAAAACATGCAAGAAATCATGGCACCATGTTTCACGGATCATGATTAGCAGCTACTTTTGACAACTTGCAATTTCAATCTCTATATATAGTAATCATATGTATTTGTAAACTGTGTACCAAGATCAATAGAATATATTCCTAGTTACCAAGAGTGGACGTAGGTCAGAAATTCGACCGAACCACTATAAATCATTGTGTTCTTGTTTTTCTATAATTTGTGAGCTGAGAGAGAGTTTCGTGTTAGTGTCTCGATCCTAACAAGTGGTATCAGAGCGTTGGTTTAGCTCCAGAAGGTGATTTTCAGTTTTTTGGTCGAAATTTGTTTTCGTCAAAAACGATTTTGGTGTATACCGTTGGAAAGGTCTCGTTCCGAAGATTCCGAAAATATTTTTTTTTTTTGAATTTTTTGACCACCGGAAGACGTCCAAATCGCCGGTCAAAGGTTGCCGGAATAGTTACCGGAAAAACCAGTTTCGCCGGAGAAGACGACATTGTAGCACCGAAGTTCCGCCGGAGAAGACGACACTGTAGCACCGGAGTTCTGCCGGAGAAGACGACACTGTAGCAGGCACTGTAGCACGACGTCAGCGGTGACGTCAACAGAACTGTAGCAAGCACTGTAGCACGACGTCAGCGGTGACGTCAGCAGGCACTGTAGCAACACTGTAGCAGATTTGAAAAATTGCAGTTTAGCCCCTGAACTTTCAGAAAATTACAGTTTAGCCCCTGAACTTTCAGAAAATTGCAGTTTAGCCCCTAATCTTTCAGAAAATGGCAGAAAACAGTAAGCTTCAGATTGAGAAGTTTGATGGGAAAGATTTTGGTTGGTGGAAGATGCAAATTGAAGATTTGCTCGTGCAGAAAGACTTGGACGCAGTTTTAGGTGAAAAACCGGAGGCGATAACACAGGCAAACTGGGAGATTTTGGATAAGAAGGCCAAGGCATTTATTAGACTGACGTTGTCAAAGGATGTTGCCTTCAACATTTTGAAGGAGACCTCGGCAAAGGGAATCATGGAGGCATTGTCTAATATGTACGAGAAGCCGTCGGCAGCAAATAAAGTCTTCCTGATTCGGGAGCTAGTCAACACGAGGATGAGGGAAGGAAGTTCAGTTACAGTACACATCAACAATTTGAACTCGATTTTATCCAGACTTGGGTCAGTGGGAATAAAATTTGAGGACGAAGTTCAAGCTTTACTACTGTTATCATCATTACCTGACAGTTGGTCCGGAACAGTTACAGCCGTTACTAGTTCCTCAGGATCGAAAGAGCTCACTTTTGAGGGAATTTGGGATTTAATTCTAGGCGAAGACGTCAGACGAAGAAATTCCGGGGAATCATCAAGTGAACAATTGAATGCGGTCAGAGGTAGAAAAAATAACAGAGGTAGTGGGAGCGGGAACAGGAGAAGGAGTCAGTCGAGGACTCGAAATGATGTGACTTGTTGGAACTGTAAAGAGGTTGGACATTTCAGGAATCAATGTCCAAAAGACAAGAAAAAAGTTAACGTTGCAGTAGACCATTCAGATGATGATGTTTTGATCTGTAGTGTGGAGAGCAATGTGGATTCCTGGGTTATGGATTCGGGTGCTTCATTTCACGCTACCCACAGCCGTGAAGCACTGCAGAATCTAAAAGAAGGAGATTTTGGTAAGGTAAGACTGGCGAACGATGAGGTTCTTGATGTGACGAGCATAGGTGACTTAGTTTTGAAGACTCCAGTTGGTCCATGGACTTTGAAGGATGTCCGGGTAATTCCAAGTCTGAAGAAACAATTGATTTCTGTTGGGCAGTTGGATGAACAGGGACACGAGGTTAAGTTCAGGAATGGGCAGTGGAAGGTTGTCAAAGGAAATCTTATGATAGCTCGTGGACATAAGAAGGGTTCATTATATATGGTCAGATTACCATCTGAGGGAGTAACCGTCCCAGTTCAGAAGAAAAACAAAATCCGGTTCATAGAGTCTCGTGGACAGAAGAAGGTTTGCTTTGCAGATGGCAAACCCAGAGTCACAGGTCAGATTCAGGTTGAACGTGTTTGGAATGGTTCAGAAAAACCAGTCAAGGGCATTCATAGCAGTGCGAGCAAGGGTTGTGCTTCAGCTAGAATACCCAGAACACAGTGGGTTAAGAGAACCAGTATTCCATCTGTAAAAGTCTCTCCAGATTATCTGCTTCATATGGAGAGTGTCGTTTGTTCTCAAGATGTTCCAGGATCGGGCAGTTCATTTCAGTGGGAGCCGGTGGAGACAGAGAACAGGTCAGTGGCAGACTTAGTCATGACTGATGTGTTGGAGCTAACGGAAGCTTCAACTGGCCTTCAGGATAATTGAAGAGAAGGCCGGGTAATTAGGATGGAGTCAAGGTCAAAATCGTTTTACAGAAATACATATGCACAGTTGAAGCACAGGTGAAAATTGTTCTGTGGCTTCAAGTGGGAGATTGTTGAGTGGTGAAGCCACTTGTTTAGTGGCAGACAAAAGTAAAGGCAGAAAACATGCAAGAAATCATGGCACCATGTTTCACGGATCATGATTAGCAGCTACTTTTGACAACTTGCAATTTCAATCTCTATATATAGTAATCATATGTATTTGTAAACTGTGTACCAAGATCAATAGAATATATTCCTAGTTACCAACGGTGGACGTAGGTACCGAACCACTATAAATCATTGTGTTCTTGTTTTTCTATAATTTGTGAGCTGAGAGAGAGAGTTTCGTGTTAGTGTCTCGATCCTAACAAATAAAGCTCTCACAAAAAGTAAATTCGAAAGATGGAATCAAACAAATATATTGAACATATACATATGTTAAACATGCTACCTGTACTTATTGATTTTCCATCTGGTGGGGCTTATGCCTGAGAGCGGGAGAGATGGTGCAGAAAGATGGGGTACCCGGTTTACAATCAAATAGATAAGGGAGAGGTTTAATTTCGACTTTCCACGGTTTGTTGATTTCTAAATAAACCCCCCACCATTCCTAAAGAACAATGATTCCAAATGAGTCTTCCATTAGAGAGAACGCATCTTACCTGCAAATCGATGTGACGCAGAGGTTTCTCTTGATGGCATGTATGGATTCTTCGATCTTCAACAAAGAAAAACATTCAATCGATGTGGTGATGGTCGATGTTGAGTGGTGCGATGTCAGTGATCGAAGTGGGAAAGAGAGTTAGAGACGATGATTGAAAGTAATTAGGGTTTTTGTGAAGGCCAGAGGCTGATGGATGTGGGCATCGAAGAGGACGATGGAGAATTTATGGGGAAGCAGTCCAAAAGATGAAGGTAGATGAAAGCTCTAGAAGGCGGTGGAAGTAGTCGGTGATTGGATGATAGGGGCGGCGAGGGACGAAACGGCAATTGACAAAAATTTGGTGGCACAATTTCAAAACAGCCAAAGTATACTGTTGTTAAGGTCCACGAGATTTAATATATATATATATAATATATATATATATATATATATATATATATATATATATATATGAGCAAAGCCATAATCGTAAGTGGAGTTGGGTATTTGGGGTGGGATGTTGCCGTATGATATGGTTTTGATTCCACAACTAGGTTGGCAATTCAAGATGTTGAACTAGTTTGGCATACCCAAATTAATAAGTACCGGAAACATGTCAAATGTGAGCATTGAAAGGTTTGTATTTGCTTGTCCAAGGGAACTTTTGGCTTCTCTACTGCTTTTGTTATACTGTTTTCTAGTGTTGTATGTCAATTGGAATTTTTTTTAAAGAATGACTTATACAATAACCACTATTTTACTCTTAAATCAACATATTTTGTCCTCAATCGGACTTGAACCCTCAACATTTTGATGAGGGACACCTATTCGCGTCAATTCCTCTAAATCGAGCAACAAATCTTGAAGCTAATGTTTTGATTGCTTATAAGATGAGCGCAAGGTGTATAACTATGTAAACATAACTTTCTTTTCTCTGTGTATGTAACATCCCACTTTCAAAAGTATACCATTTTTTATAAATAAGAACTTATATTCCAGGCCCATTGACACATACAAAACGGGCATGAACAGATACTATCAACCAAATTCTTATTTAGGGTGAATTCTTTACCCCAAATAAAATTATTCACCAAATTTGAGTTCTAGCCAATATGCTCGAACAATTTTAGCAACCTCATTACTTCAATCCAAGTGGTTCACCTTAAATTCCAAAGTTTAGGATTTCACTCAACATTGCATTCACAATATGTGAAAATTTACACTTAATGGAGGTATAATCTTCATCTCTTAAGGTTATTATACCATCACCTCAACATCCATTAAAATTTCTTTATCATCTACTTCATTATCCCCAAAAACCCCAAATTACAAACCTAATTGCACTATAACCATCAAGAGAGTGAAAAATAAAAATAAAAAATCATACCTTGCTTTTGTGTAATTAATCTAAGCAAATATGTTATAGATTCCTTCCATTTAACAGCCATGGAGTTCCAATTTAGTGAATATATACAAGAAGTTACAAGAATCGTCTGATTATGGAGTAAAAATAGTTGTCATTGAACATTTTGAAACGATTTCAAGTTCTTACACAAGAGAGGCTTTGAAACTTGCGCCCCTTCAAGTTATGAATAAACTAAATATCAAATTTACTTGGAGGCTACTTTGTTGATGGCGATAAGCTCCCAAATTGATTATTCCAAATTTCATATGTGCCAAGTTCATCCAGAGAAACAGAAGGTCTCACCTCCTGTAGTGCATTCTCAAAGTCCTACAAATATAGTGTGTGACAACAGACAAACCAAATATAACATTACTTTTACTTAAACTAGCAAATTATTTGTTAATAAACAGCCACCAATGGTTTCAGTTAATAAGAGTTCATAATCCATGCTAATTTCAAAGTACGTACCTGTAGACTAACTGGCCTCATATCCTCCTTTTGAAGTTTGGTGATTTCAGTGCCTTGTCTCAGAGCCTCCCTGAGTGGACCCATGGAAGCATCTTTGACTAAATTCTTCATATCAGATCCTGAATACCCTAAAAAATCAAAGTGCAAGTAAGGTAAGAGTAAAACATACATCAAATTGAGGGAAAAAAAAGTAGAAATAAAAGAATACCATGTGTTAATTTGCATATGGTATCAATATCCTCTGTTGAGAGATTAAAAAGTCCATCCTTGTTTAAAAGATTACGAACTATCCAGGCTCTTGCTTCTTTACACCAAAGACATAATTACATAATTAGCCTTGTATAAGTAGCATAAAGAATTTTAAAGAAAAAAAAAAGATAAATCAAATTAAGTTGCACTTGCACCTGAGGAAGGGAGTGGAATATAAAGTCTCTTTGTCAATCGCCTCCTAGCTGCCTCATCTAACTCTTGTGGTCTATTTGTCGCTCCTGCCATTTCAGAATGTAAATGCCAGTAAATCAAAAAGAAGTAGATAAATTTACAAGAGGGATTTTTCGCTAAAAAAACAGAAGTGGATATAAAGCTCTTAATCTGCCATTTAGCAGCATATTGTACTTTCAGTCATTTGTGTGTTATAGCATCCCACTTTCATTTCTTTCCATTACAACTTTTTTGTCCCCTTATTTATTAAGGCAGTGTACTTTGAAAAATCTAAATAGCATTGTACTTATTAGAACATTATACTTTAAAAGATATACCCAATTATAACAATCAAAAGTGCTTTTTATTAGCATTGCCATAGGAGGGCAGATTTTTCAAAGTATAATGTTGTAATAGAAAAAAATGAAAGTAGCATGCTATAATAAACAAACCAACAAAAGCATGTTGCTATTTCTTGCTAGAGTTTGAATTATTACTGGCTTTTGCAAGTTGCAATAGGTAACGACTCTTTTAAGTATTGGAATGTTATAAGATGAATATAAACTTGAGAAAACTTTGGATTTTAAAGATCACCTATGAGTAGAATCTGCTCACTTCCACTATCAAATCCTTCCATTTCAATGAGAAACTGCGTCTTAAGTCGCCTGCTTGACTCATGCTCACCATCTGACTTACGCTGCAGTAGTAATTACTCATTAAGTTGCAAAAAAGTGAAGAATCCAATAAGACTATATGGTTTTAAGTATTTAAATAAAATCATCAAAGCTATTGAATAAGTAAGTCTAAATGTGACATACCTGGGACAGCAGAGAATCAATTTCATCCACAAATATTACAGCTGGCTGACGACAGCTGGCAACTCCAAAAAGAGCCCTCACTAGCTTCTCACCCTCTCCAATCTATAGTCATCATTTTATAACATCTTTACTTGGATACATATAACAGAACATGAACATCTACAAGCACTTATCATGCTTAAAAGAATCAGTACATACCCATTTACTGGTTAGTGAACTTGCAGATATGTAAAAAAATGTTGCATTACACTCTCCAGCAATAGCTTTACCTATCATAGTTTTACCCGTTCCCTAAACCAAGAAAAAAGATACAATCAAATCAAACAAAATGAACTTTTCTTTTCTCATGATATTATACTAATGTATATTGGACTTACTGGTGGGCCAAATAGAAGAAGCCCTCGTCCTGGAGAACGACAACCTTCGAAAATATCAGGGCGTAACAAAGGCCATATCACCATTTCTGTAACACATTTTTTTGCATGATGCAATCCAGCTGTAATTAAGATGACAATATCATCTTAATTAAAATCTTATTAAAGATGATTAAAAGTTTATGTAACATGAAAAACCTCTTACCAATATCATCCCAACGAACATTGGGTTTACCATCCATTATCTCATTACTAATGTGCTCAATAAGGCGAGGCTCTAAATTCCTTAACTTCTCTGGAAGTTCACCATCAGGACCACATAGCGCATCCATGCTGTAAAAAGTTATACAACCATGTTTGATTTTGCTTTATTATGTTAACATTTAACAACCAAGTATTGAACTTACTTACCATCTTTTTGTTGAATCATCTAATGCATCTTCACCTTTTGTTGCATTTGCACGTGAAGCTACATTACCAGTATTACCCCCGTTGGATCTAATAGGGGGAACAAAACCACGGATTCCACGGCGTGGTGGATAGGATTTGACACCATAGCCTCTGTTGTTTCCATCACTTTGTGGGGAAACTGAAGAATTTGGTGATCCAGCCATCCCTCTCTTTTGCCTCGCATCCATTTCCTGTGGCATAAAGAACATGCATCATAAATCTATAATCATTTTGGTCAAGGAAGATTATAAGAAGATATTTTCAAGATTTAAAATGTATACCAATTTTGTTCTAGCAGTAACAAAACCATTGCCAGTAATACCAGTATCAGCTTCATTCTTGCTTGATGGAGACAAGAGTATTTCATTCTTTGGGCTAATGGTTTCCATGCGAGATCGCTTGGGTCTCAAGCTACTTCCATTTGTTCTTTCTTCCTCAGAATTTATATATGTAGACAAACCACGACCCTCAACAAGATTACAATCCTTGAGACCATTTCCTACTGAGTTGACAAAACTATTATGTATACTGTTGTTTGTCCTTGAGATGCCTCCATAAAAGGTTGTTGATTTTCCATGTACAGGAACTTTTGAAGTCTTGCCACTGATATCTTCCTTCTTTTCAGGTTCATCATCCTAACATGGATTGTCATCATTAGTCAATGAATTTTATAAGATCTTATCGTGTTGCAATCTAACAATAATACTCATCCTTATTCTACATCAGTGATCAAACATTTAGTTGAAGTTTTCAAAGCAATATAAAAATGAGTTGATTGCACCATGAAAAGGTGTACAAAAGGCTATAAAACGTGTGAAGAAGAAATACAGCCACTAATAAGTAATACCTCATTTAGAGTATTTCCTTTAGAATGTTGGAGAAGAGCTTTAAAATATTTTGATTGCTTAATTTTCTCAATGTTGATATCCCCTTGCTTGTGGAAAGCCACCCCTGGATCTCTACCAGCTAGCTCAAACGCTTGACTGCAGTGACATGTTGCAGAAACTATGGATAAGCATGAATAACCCAAAAAAAAACCCTTAATAAACCATAAAAGTGTTTTACTTCGAACAGGTGGAACCAATTTACAAAACTGATAAGTTTGCAATTTAGATTTCAAACATCAACAATGTTCCATTCAAACATAAATGATATTTCTCCCATCAACTGAAACACAACTGAATTAGGATTCTAGCTTAATTTGAAATTACGAACTACATTAACTTCTATGTCATAGCTTACAGAAACCTTACATTTAATCAGAGAATTAAAGCTGAATTTCATCGGTAGCAACAAATTCAGTGGATACATTTCTATCAAGAAAACAACTTCAGTAATAGTCTCGCATATGTTTGTTTAGAGGCATAGACATAATACCGATCCGAGTCAGGAATGAGTGATTGACTAGCAGAATCCAGTTTCGAGAGAGCTTCACGGCGAATTGGACGAATGATGGCTTCGTCTACGTCGTTTAAGGACTGAGAATCTAGGAAACCGATGAGACGGAGGGAGAGTAGTTGAGCATAAGAGTAATCTCGCTTCTCGAGAGCGATGTCCGCGCCGAATAGAAGAGATTGGAGCCTCTTAAGGTTGGTGTCTAATTCTTTTCTCCAGCAAGACGACGCCTCCGACGACGATGGTTTTGGTTCCGCATCCATTCTTCTTCTCCTTGGATTTCAAACGAGGCGGTGTCGCTGGAATGTGTGTCCTATTTTCCCGCCAATTTCTAATAATAACCCAATTTGGTCACTGGCTCACTGCCGCTTGATGACTACTACGCGGTCGTAGTGGTGGATTTAAGAAAAAAAGAAAAAAAATGCAAAATAATAATTCGAAAATATTACATAAATGGCTTTTTTAGAGAGAATTACTAAGTCAATTTTCTTAATTACCTATTTAAAAATAGTCAAAAATTAGTAATCGTCCAAAAATAGCCCTACGAAACCATAGGTAATTAGAGTGGACTATTGTTTCGCCAAATCGTTTATTGTTTCGGATTAACTATTAAAAAATAATCGTTTCGAAAATCTAAAACCGTAAGTTATTTTATAACCTACGGTTTCATCTCGACGAACCACGGTTTCCCAAACCGTAGTCTACGATTCTGGGTAAAAAGTCTACGCTTTTAAAAAAAAATTAAATAAATGGAGAGTAGTTTTACAAAATATATTTTTTAACAAAATAATTGTCAAAAAATTACTCTACATTTTACAAACAATATTTTTTATCAAAATAATTCTCAAAAAACTACTCTCCATTTTATTTTTTATTTTTTTAAACTAAAAACATTAGACTTTTTACCCAGAACCGTAGACTACGGTTTGGGAAACTCTAGTTCGTCGAGAGGAAACCGTAGGTTATTTATAACCTACGGTTTTAGATTTTCAAAATGAAAAAAAAAAATTATAGTTAACCCGAAACAGTAGACGATTTGGCGAAACAGTAGCCCATTGCCCTAAATGTAACATCCCAACCTTCGGGTATGAATTTAAAGCCTCATATATATGCATTTTCAAGACAACTCGACGAGTTAGAAGACTCCAACTCGTCGTGTAGAGTTTTAAATGGCCGCGTATCTTTTAAGGTCTACTCGACGAGTTGGAAGGCCCCAACTCGACGTGCTGAAAGCTGAACATGAAAACCCTAATTTTTAGGGTTTGCACCTTATTTAAAGGCCTTAACTCTCATTGTTGGCCTCCCTCATCGCCTCCTTGTCCAGAGAAAACCCTAGTTCGTGCTTTTGCTCTCATTGTGTGTGTATGAGAGCTTGGAGAGTGGTTTTTTGTGCTCTTTTGGAAGGAACTTGAAGCTTGAAGAGGTTTGATGGAGTGGAAGGTTGTAGATCCGGTGTCTACTCTGTGTGGCAACCATTTTGAGGTATAAAGTCGATACCTTGGCCTCTTATTGCTTAGATCTACTTTTATGGAAAGATATTGTCATTCTTGGAATGATGCATTGCTTGAAGTTGCCACTTCAGATTTGGATGTTTTGTGACTCCTTGAGCCTAAAGTTCCAAGCTATATTAAGTATTGGCCCTCCTTCATGCCCTAAACCCCTTATTAAGCCATGTTGGAGTGTTCTAGCCCCTTTGATGTCATGCATGGACGTAAAGTTAGCAACTTTACGTGGTATCTCAGTCCTAGGGGACCAGATCTATAGTTTGGAGCATTAGACTCGCTTGGAAGGTGGCTGAATGTGTAAAGACAAGAAAACTCGACGAGTTGCCCTACCAACTCGGCGAGTTGACTCGGGGTTTCCCAGATCTTCTGGACACTGTACGAACTCGACGAGTTGTCTTGACGACTCGGCGAGTTGACTCGGGTTTTCGCGGTTTTCTGAATTTTGAAGGAACTCGACGAGTCAGTAGATGCACTCGACGAGTTGGGTCAACGTGGACTGTTGACCTTGACTGTTGACTCTGACTTTGACCAAAGTTGACCAAGTTGACTTTAAGGGTATTTTTGGTGATTTGGGATTTTAATGAAATTAGTCACATGGTGGTTGTAGGCAGTTGAGTTCGGAGTTGTGATTCAAGAGTTGGATCTTGTCAGCCAGTGCTACTCGTGAGGTGAGTTTTCCTCACTATACTTAGGGGTCGAAGGCACCAAGGTCGGCCCATTGGATTGATATCCTAGTAGTTATTGATATGCTGAGTATGAGTTAGATATGCATGCTAGTTTGATATGCTAGTATGGTAGATCTGTATGACTACCTGTGATACTGTTTGATTATCTGTATGTGTAATTATATGTTACTTGTCGACATGTTGTGTGGGTTGGGTTGAGGTTGTACTGCTCTGTGTTGTAGCCAACAAACCCTGGAGTATACCATATATGAGCTGAGGGCCAGGGAGGGCATGTCAGACTCATACTAAGGACTCCTAAGCATTCCAGATACGAGCTGAGGGCCGGACCAAGCATGCCAGACTCGTACTGAGGGCTAATCCATGTATTCCAATCCGAGGACTAATGGAGCAAGCCAGACATAAGCTGTGGGCCGAGAGCAAACCAGACTTATGTTGTGGGCTCGAGAGCAAGCCAGATATGTGCTGAGGGACAAGGAGGGCATGCTAGACTCATAATGTGGGCTTAGGGGTAATCCAGTATGTAGAGTTGTGGACCCATTACATGTTGTTATTGTTATTATATGTGTGTTATTGTTGTGCGGGTATTTTGGGGGAACCCACTAAGCTTCGTGCTTACAGTTGTGGATTTTGTTTCAGGTACTTCGGATGATCGCGGGAAGGCACAGGCTTGATCGTGCACCTCCTCGTTTTTCATGAATATGATTTATGGGATTTCTCTGATGATAAACTATTTGAAAACAATTTGTAATAAATGGTGGTTTTTGGATGTTTGAAAAAGTTTAAAAATTTTTGTGAAAAATATGGATGTTACAAGTTGGTATAAGAGTCTTGGTTTGAGTGAATTGGAGGAACACTCGTGTGAATCCAGACTCAAACTAAGGAAAGGGTTTTCAAAATACAGAGGAGGATGTAATGTGTACGATCAGCCGGAGCCAGTAAGTAGACCCCAAATTACCATACAGTTATTTGAGATTATGTTACGTTATGTTATGTTAGAACAGCATGCTAGTAATAGGCTAGGGATCATTAAGAATTGCATGATTATATGATGCCTTAGTTCCTATCGAGTCCTCCTGTTTAGATGTGTGACTCTCTTGTGTGTGAACTGGCTATTGAGTGGATACGCTAGGTCACATGCTACACAGTTTAAAGGATCTTAGGCTGAGGGGTTGGGTCCTGCTGCGCAGCTCTCGTTTGAGTCCAACCGTTGTGGGATTAAATCTTTTAGCCTAAGATTGTTTAAACTGTGGAGTATGTGATTGTATTCATGCGATAGTCATCTGGCACCAATGGAGAGTCGTGTGGCAAGCGTGATATGGATGAGTCGTATGGGGTCAGTCGGTCAGTCGCGTTATTGGATGAGGTAGCGGTGGTTTCCCTGGTTTGGGCGCGGTTCTTAGCGGGTCGGCATGAGGAAGAGTTAGCCACTCTTGAGAGAGTGAGGGCAGGGCGAAGATGCGCGCGAGATGCTGGGAGTCTGAGATCGAGGATTTCATAGGAGGATATGTCTGGTTTTATTGCATCTTAGTGCTAGTCGACTTCTCTGCTCGAATGTTGCTTGCTTTGTGCTTTGTGGGACCCACGTTGATGAGAGTTAACCATCAAATGAATACATTAAATTACATGCTATGAGGGTTAAATAATCTTAGGATAAAGGAGTTGGACCTATTGTGCAGCTCTCATCTGAGTCCAACCGTTGTAGGGCTGGGTCCTTTAGCCGAAGGATTATTTAAGCCTGATTGCATGTAATTGTATTCGTGAAGTAGTTAGTTGGCGTTGGTAGGGGTTCTTCAGCAGCTGAAGGCAGAGGGGTGTGGATGAGTCCTAGGATAGCCTAATGAGTATTTAGTACGGTTGTTTCGTCGAGGAGCAGGTTTCAGGAGTATTTTGTGACTAGGACTTAGAAGACCCGAAATAGTTCATGAGGAGAGTATGGGTAGGTGTGGAAGGTAGTATTGCACCCATACTACTGAAAGCACAGGATCCATACTCGATTCAAGGAGATTTTGGGGAATCTAAGGGCTGGTAAAGGTAGATAGCATGGTTGGATACCATGGTTCGAGGCAGTAGTTCCGTATCTGTTGATCTTTTGGTTTGGGCCGCTCAGGAGAGGATGGGTTTTGTGGTTGTTCAGGCACTGTGGCGATTTTGATGTGGGTTGAGTAGTTCAGACCCGGATGAGTATGTTGATTGGGAGTCCCGAGGGTTCCGTTAGAGGTCGTGCCTTGAGCCTCGAGGCACGGGGAGGAAGCGGTTACTATGATCGGTTTGGATTTACATCTGGGATTTGAGTGGCAGGTTGTCGGGTCAGCTTGTCGTTTTCCGTGGCAGGGATCTTGTCCTTCAGTTGTTCGAGTTAGAAGGAGTGGGCAAGCTTTTGACCTCCCGAGTTAGGTTGGATTCTCAGCTTGAGGTATGTTGGTCGCGGTGGTTGGAAACAACAAATCAACGCTGGTGTGCGCAAGTGGTTTGATGCGGCACGAGTATCTTAGTTACTTGAGCAAGGGTCGTATCCGTAGGAGATGGGAAGGCCAGGTGCCGGATTGTCGTGTGGGTTGCATGCAGGGGTGTATGTTTGGATCGTAAACCGGCAGTTGCCTATGCTTTGTAAGTGGTTATTATGGGAAGATTTAAGGTCTTCAGCTGTATTTCAGGTTCCTCGTGGGGTTCGTTTGATCCGTACCTGGAGGACCATTCTGCGAGTGATATTCGTTTCATGGTCAGGTATGGTTGTACCTGGATGGGTTGGTTGGGTTATGTTTTGGTTTCACCACCATTAGGTGGTGGTTAGTGTTCTAAGTGGCGGAGAATTGGGAATTCTCAGGTTGAGCCTCAGTTATTAAGGGTTCTGTCTGTTTGCTTATTGGTTCGCTGCTTTCAGATTGCTGGGTAAATGTTGGTTGGTGGACCCTTTTCAGAAACAGGTATGTTCAGCTCCATGTGGATTGTGGTTTCTATGGTTGGGGTGTCAAGGTATTCGAGACCATTGGTCGTTGAGTTCGTTAATCAGCAGGAATTTTCCGATGGATTTAAGTGGTGCCAGCTTAAAGGTCAAGGAGTGCGTCAGCTACTCTCCTGTTCAGTATATTCTATGTTCCTTCAGTCTTCAGGTGTGCTTACCCTCAATGGTAGAGTGGGAGCTTGGTTCATAGCAGACTCAGGTTTTGGTA